GGAGTCCCTGCCCCTTCCCCGTCCCTCTCTGAACATGGTGATAACAGGCCACTTTTGACCTTCACAGCAAAACAGGAGGAGGAAAATCCTGCCTGGAAACAGAAAGATCAAATAGTTGCTGCCAGGGAGGGAACAAGCTCTCCCCCCCACACCGGCACCCACCTCCCCAAAGAGCAACGGCAGCAGCAGAAACAGAGAGAACAAACCATTGCAGGGTTTTTTTTTTTTCTGTGTGTGTTTTTTTTTTTTTGTGGGTTTTTTTTTTTTTAAAACCATTAATAAATAACATGAGAAGCCAACATGGCAGTGCAGCCACGTGCTGGAACCCCACCCCACCCCACCCATGAACACAGTGGCTCTCCCCGAGGGCACAGCCATGGGCGCTGTGCTGTGTACCACAGGACTTGCCAGGTGCTTGCCCATCACCCCTGGCTTCTGCCAGGTCCCTCCAGCTGCCCAAAACAACAGCCGGCGGGGGGGCGCAGAATCAGAAGCAGGACTAACAGATCTATCTCCCCAGCAAGTCAAGTCACTTCTTTGGAGGAGCTGGCCTCAGACAGCAGACTCAACAGCAGCAGCCCTGTACAGGGAGTGCTGCCTTGCTGGTCGGGAAACTGCAAACTGGGTCTGGGCCAGCCATCGCATCCGCCTGTTCACGAGGTCGGGCGCCGAAAGCGAGCGAAACTCCAGCTCGTCGCTCCTCCTGTTAGCATCCACTTCGTCGTAGGCACCTTCTTGCTGCGCCCATACATTGGGGTGCAGCCACTTGTAGTAGGTGACTCTCAGCACCAGCCCCAGCAAGTAGCAGGGCAGGGCGGCGGAGACCACTGGGATGAGGTATGAGTGCTCATCAGAAGGGAAGCGGTACCAGAGCCAGGACAGGGCCAGCAGCGTGCTGTCCACCAGGATGAAGCCATGATAGATGATGCTGCGGTACAGTGTCCTCCCCTGCGCCACATTGAACCAGCTGAAGTAGAGGATCACAGCCACCATGGCCCGGTAGAGCTGCTCGGGGCCAGGTGACTCCATGAAGTCCGTGCCCTGCAGGCTGACCCAGAGGAACATCGCCAGCCACACAAGTGGAAAGTGGACAGCCACGCCGTAGGGCCAGAGCAGGGCAAAGAGGGCGACCGTGAGGATACGGGGGCAGATGAGGAAGAGGTTCCACAGAAAGTAGATGATGGAGGAGCCCAGGCTGAGCTCGTACTTGTCGTGCAGGAAGGAGCGCAGGGACTGGTGGTAGTCCAGTAGAGACCAGGTCACACACAGGAATGCAGTGCAGATCCCCAGTCCTGCAAACACGGTGGTGGAGATGCTGAGGGCAGACTGAGGGGGCCCAGCCTGGCCCAAACCTCCCCTTGCCCAGCATTGCTCAAACAAGCTCCCCACTAGCTCGCAAAGCAGCTGCTGCGAAGGGTCAGAGCCTCAGCACCAGCACCTCTCCCCCAGCCTCCTGCCATCCC